TATATATATAAATATATAATTCAAATTTTATACTCGAATCAAGTCAACAGAATACAAAGTTATACCTGTACAGACAAGATTTCTGCATGCGCCATTGCGAAAGTCATGAAAAACACGATTTCTATGATCTTGCAACATTTTTGCATGGATGTAGAAGCATGAGTAACCAAGCTCATATATAATTCAAATTTTATACTCGAATCAAGTCAACAGAATACAAAGTTATACCTGTACAGACAAGATTTCTGCATGCGCCATTGCGAAAGTCATGAAAAACACGATTTCTATGATCTTGCAACATTTTTGCATGGATGTAGAAGCATGAGTAACCAAGCTCAGTGATTTTCTTTGCCAATAATTCTACCCGGTTGACAGAGTTACAGAATATAATAGATTGGTTGATTTGTAGCTGTAAATAATACCTGCATGCATCAGCTTCACAACCATGTAGAGTCACATAAAGAAGAAATGGCTTTAGTCAAACCTTTGAGAAAAGTGTATTTAGGCAATGCACTTTCTGCCTTTCTTCGACAAAAGCATAATATTGTGTTATTCCCTTGAGAGTCAGTTCATCCATTAGGTTGATTATGAAGGGTTTTCTCAGATATCTGTCCATGAAATCCTTGACAGTAACAGGAAACGTGGCTGAAAACAACAATATTTGTCTATTTGCAGGAAGAAAGCGAATTAGTTGTCCAATTGACGGTTGGAATTCAGAAGATAGAAGCTTGTCAGCCTGTATGAGGGAATATGGTGTTATGAGAAGAGATGGAAATGCATATAGCATCATAAAAAACCCCTCTGTGAAACTACATTAACAGGCAAATGAATAACAACAAGTAGGTAATGTATTGAGTATCTTCTTACACAGCTTTTCAACATAAAGTGGATAATATAAAGCATACAAAAATAACAACCCTGTATGTAGCTTCATATCATTCTTTTCAAACTAATAATTATTCCAAATCAGCTAGAATGTGTTAAATATTTAGGCATATTTAATTTAAGTTATGGCTGATCACCTAAACAAACAATTAATAGATACAGCTAGGCACATGTTCATGTTGAACTTCCGGGTTAATAAACAAAAGCTCCTTTTCCATGATCAGAAAATCTTTATGGGAATCAAACTTCAGCGTGACAACTTTATAAAAAGCAAATTCATAGAAAATAAGCTTGCATAAAACTCAACAGGATCAGTTCCGCAATTAATTATACCTCATCCATAATGAGCATCGAACAATCTTTCAGAACACAAATATCCTTCTTTGCGAGATCTAGGATTCGACCGGGTGTTCCAACGAGCAAGTGGACAGGTTGATACAAGCGCATGATGTCATCTTTCAAGCTAGTTCCTCCAGTAGTTACCATTACCTGAACCTTCAAGTGCTTCCCGAGCTCCTTGCAAACCTGAGATGTTTGAAGAGCCAATTCCCTTGTAGGAACCAATATGACAACTGCTTATCACAAAGAAATCAGTTAGTCCATGGTGAATGTGAATAGTTTGGCATATCGTGTAAGTATACATAGAAGTAATAAAAAAAAATTTTAATTGATGCCCATTGGTATACAATTTTGTAAAAATCATACACTTTAAAGTGAAGCTGAACAGTTCATGAGAATTAATGAAAACAAGAACCTTGAATAACGTTCTTTTCTTGATCAATTTTTTCTAATGCTGGAATGCAGAAGGCAGCAGTTTTTCCGGTTCCATTTTTAGCTCTAGCCAGAATGTCAACTCCGGTTAGAGCAATTGGGATGCTTTCTTCCTGAATAGGTGAAGGTTTTTCAAATCCTTTCTCGTATATTCCCATAAGTAGCTCCCTCTTCAGAAAATAATCTTCAAAGTCATTTCCTTTAGTTGCAGTTACATCCTGGAAACAATGTTTTGAGCTTTAATTAAAGTAAAAGTAAACATAATATAAACAGGAGAGAATTATTAGAAATAGCTACAACATATAATTTGTTAAATTCAACTGAATTAAATATCATGTTCTTATCTTGTATATGTAAGTTAGATGCAAGATTTTTTCAAATGAGGCATAGGTTCAACACCTAATTCTGATGGAAGTCATCTCATTGTACCAAAATAATGCATGAATTTCTTTAATTACTTATTTTATTGATCTAGTTTCTTCTACATAACTTATAATTGGCTCGCTAGTGTTCTTAATTTTGTTCAAATTTAATATGATTGTTGGTCTCCCTGTATGTTCACAATCGATTAAACTGTGTGCGAAAAGAATGATGTTCAAACAACATGTTGTCAGCAACAAGTTTAAAATACGTCGACAATTGTCAAAATCATTTGAATGTTGTAGAATATTTATTTATAGACTCATCATCTTAAAAATCTTATCTAATCTCGCATCACTAGCAAAATTCCTACAAATTTGGTACCTCATCATCCCAAATTACTCTTTCCCCACACACACAACGTTCCACTCCCTCTCCCGTTTTCTACTCTATCGAGCTCCCCAACCCGCCAACAAGCTACACATGAACCGCCTTAACATCCTCCTCCTAAATCTTGTTCCATCGAGACAACTCACCTCTAACCTATTCATCGTATCTTCGCATCTAAGTTACTCACACACATCCAAGCATGCACAACACCCCATACCCATCTCCCAACACACCTGACCACACCACCCTAGCCACCGCACTACGATTGCATGCATACATTGCTCACCACCAATCCACCTTGCCATCTGACACTACACAAACAATCCTCCAACAATCTGCTTGCTCCCTCTCCCCCCCTCCTCTCTCTCTCTCTCTCTCTCTCTCTCTCTCTCTCTCTCTCTCTCTCCCCTTTGCCATGATCCAATCACGCCTGACCATTTTGCTAGATACGACTCAGGCCGCCGACCAACGAAACGAGTTGAATAAAAACAAGAAACTTGTAATGAGTGTGACAACTTGACTACGAGTAAGAATAGAACTTATTTTACTCCAACTAAATGCCCAAACTCTAAAAAAAAAACTTAAAAAAAATGCCCAAACTCTCCAATTACTTTAGAAAAAAAGAAGAAATTTTGCCTATCATAAAAATAGAAAGGATTCATACTCGCTTTCAATACCATCAGATTTGCAATACATACATGCAATGGACAAAAGGGGTCTTTTAAAAATTTTAAATAAAATTTTATGTTCATTTCAATGATAAACACTCGCGAAAAATAATCAAACATGAATATTTTAAAGTATCGCACATATCAAAATACAAATTTCATATTTAAGCATTACCCCTCCTTAAGAAGCGTACAACAACTTGAGAAGCAAGTAATAACCTCGAGAAGCAAGCCACATCCCAGAGAAGCATGCAACAACCCCGTAAAACGTGATATTGCCTTGAAAAGTGTGTCATTATCTTGAAAAGCATGCTACAACATAGAAAAGTACGCAGTTGCCCCGAGATATGCACTAGTCTTAAAAATAAGAAAATTCAATTTAAAATATATATTGGAAGGCTAGGGAACATGCTATATTGGTGCATCAAAATGCATGCAAGTGCATCACATGTAAAACCCAAAATTGGCAATCGTAAATGATGCATTTCGATGCGCTGCGACGAAATTTAAGTGAATTTTTAAAGTCGTTGGATTTCGACGAAATTAATTTTATAAAATAATGCTTAAAGTTTCGAGCAAATTGGTATAAAGAACCTACAGTGAATTTCGCATAATTCGAAAGTTAAAAATCATAGAAGTTTCAATATGACTAAAATGTCCATAATAATATTAAAGCGAAAATAAGTCTTGAGAGGGTATTTAAGACATTAAGCAACTAATTAACCACTCCCTCTTAAGGAGACCAAAACTCATTTGGTCCCCATTTGTTTCACGCGGCCGAACCGAACGGAGAGAGGGAGTGGAGAGAGAGCTCGGGTTTGAGTTTTGGCCGACGATGGAGGCGATTTTCCGGCGGTCATCCCTTGGGGAAATTTGTAGAGGGAGATTCAAAGGCTAATAAGGTATGTTTTAAGTTATGAATCCCTCTTTTCCCCATGGATTTTTGGAAGAGAAAATTTCTAGTGTTTTGCTAAAACTTAAAATTTCTTTGGAAAACTTATGGGAAATGTAAGGGGAAGTGTTTTAATCGTAAAAACGAAGTTTTCCCCAAAACTTTTTGAGATTGAAAAGTTAGGGTTTTTCATCACTAGTGATTTTTTTAAAAAACCCTTCAAGATTTTTGTTCCTAATGACATTAGGAGAGCTGAAATTGTGGAAATATAAGTTTTTAGCAAAAAAATTAATTTTTCTAATTTTTATAATAAAATAATCCGAAAAAATTAACCCTAATTATTAAAGTAATAAGGAGGGAGTTTTTGAATGCATTTGGAATGGAATTAGAGAATTTTAGGTTTCCTAAAATTGGGATTTTTAATAAATCCAAAAATAGAATTTAAATAATGTGATTATTGAATATATATTATGATTAATGCTTAGTATGTTATATTTACTTTTATACCTAGGTGTCGATTATTAAGAGGACGCCTCGAGCTTAAGCGACGTCGTTGAGGTTTACTATACTTGTGATGTAGGTACTTGTATTTAAAGTAAATTCATATTTCTAAATTTTGTTTTATGTTAAATAAAACATGTGTGTAGTTTATAATTTTCCTTTTCATGCAATCTTCTCATGTTAGAATTAAATGCCTTTTTATTATTCATAGAATGTTAAATAGTTATACTTATTGTCACATTAAATGTTAAATAAAGTTAAGTGAAATGGAATGTCCTTTCACTGAAATCTAGATAAGCATGAGGACATTCGAAACACATGAATTTTTGAATTACTTAATCCATATGATATATATTATGATTGCATGTGCATGATGATCTGGAGTACCAAATGGTAAATTGACTCTTCAAAGTCAATGGTAAAGGAGCTCTTCGAAGTCAATGGTAAAGAGACTCTTCAGAGCAAATGGTAAAGGAATTGCCAAATTTTAATGTATACATGATCAGTACAAAACACTGGTACTCCCGGGACGGGTGTATTATATTATAATTAAGCACTTTATGCATTTAAATAAATATTATGATGAAAGAAAAAGTTTATAAAGAATGAAAAAGTTAAAGAAAATTGTGTATCAAAAAGGTTATACAGTATATGCCTATCAAATATCAAGTATGATTTTTTTTGTATTTTCTCAAATTCTTCTGAATGAAAATTTCATGCATAATGCCTTGTTTTTATTGTTTCATGACTTTATGATAAATATTTATTACCTGATGAGCTTAAGCTCACCCTGCTTGTGGGAATATTTTTTCAGGAGAGACTGTGATGAGGACATCGTCAGCGATTTCGACACGTGTACCATCGGAGACACCGGAGATCGACGGTCACGATCAGGAGTTTTAATTTTAGTCATGTTATGTAGTAGTTTGTTTTATTTTTCAATTTTCCGTTTTTACCCTTATGGGTATTTGGTCGCTATTGTAGCCCAAGGGGCATTTTAGTCTATTGTTTCCTTTGTTATTTTAGGCCTATATATATGATCATTTCTTATGTAATGGGTTAATGAAGATTTGAATGAAAAATGTGTGTTTCTACTTCTTCTTCTTGCATGAGAGCTTGAGAAGGGAGAGAGCTCAAGGGGAGCAAATCGCAAGGCCCACCAGTCGTTGGAAGAGTCCGCGGCTCGTGGTTAGGTTTTCTATCTTCTCCTTCGTATTCACCTCGATCTTCTTTCTCCTCCACCACAAGAAGACCCCTTCCTCTTCCCCAAACCCGCCGGCCCTAAGCCTTCCTTGGCCGCCAACCACCCCACCTCCTCCCCCCGTCCAAGCCTCTTCACCACCGGCCCTCTTCCACATTCCCCACTTGTTCGAATTTTGAAATTTCAAAATTATTTGAGTTGAAAATTTCCAAATTTGTCGAAGTCAAATATGGAAAGTTTTCAAGTTCAAATCATTTCGAAATTTGAATCAAAGTGAATTTCTTAATCAAACCTTCTCATGCAAACAAACCACAATTTGGAAGTTTGTAAATTGCTTCCATCCATTTCTCTCTTCCTCTTAGCATGCCGCCGGCCCCTTAGTGGGAATTAATCCCATTAATTGCTACGTAACTCCCCTCTCCCCTAATTTGAAATCAAATTGATTTCAAATCCTCCCCTCTCCACTTCAATGTTGAATGGCGGATCATGAGATCCATCTTCCACCAAGTCGTTGGATCATCATCGGACATCCGCCAACCCCACCTACTCCGACTACTTTCCCGTGGACAAAGACTTCCGGCATCTTCTTCCTAGTGGTGATCTCAATTCTAGTTGCAAAATCTTCTCTCGCCAAGCCTAGTGTAGTCGAGAGAATAATCCCCAAGGTGAAATTTCTCATTATTAAGTTGTGGATTGTTGTTTAATAGCTCTTAGCTTTGCTACTATTTTTGTTTATCTCCAAGGATTAGTTAATCTACATGTACTCCTTCGCCTAAGCGAGTTGAAAACCAAGAATCTTTAATGATTTTACTTGTTATCTCAATAAGCTCTTAATTGTAATTCCATTGTCAATCACTTTTAATTTTCTTAAGAAGCTCCTTCGCATGTCGTATCACATCAGACTGTTAGAGAGTGATGGCCGAAAGACGGATTACCTACCGTCGTAGATGATACCATGATGACAGGTTTTTACGATCATGTTATGTAATGTGTTGGTTGATGTATCGTGGACTACCGTAATGTTTTCAATTTATGTTTTAAGAAATTTCATGTTTTGATGTATTAGAGATATTTAAGTTTAAAATTTTAGTGGCTCTTTCTTTCACTGTTATATTATTAGATGATTATTTTGTTTATGTCATTTATGAAATGAAAGTTAAAAGTGTTCTCCGTACGACCATCTGTTCCCACCCCATTAATTCGGGC